GCTACTTGTAAGGCTACACTTATTTTCATGGTACTGAAGGGGGGGGGGGGATATTTTATTGATTTTTAAAAAGTAAGTGCTATTACACCCATAATTACAAGTACATTTGATGTTTAAACCAAAGGTCTTCGCCAGCACATATCAGTATGGTTAGAGACTTAACAACAAAAGACAAAACAAATGTGGATATGGTAAAATTGGCGACCAATGAGTAACACAGCCATGCCCAAATTTTAAAGAAGACCTACAATACCCAATGTTCTTGAGGTATCTTTAGTAGTAGGTGAAGCCACTTTGCTGTCTGACAACTTTACTAATTTCTTTGTGTCTATTTTAAAATGTAGACATTAGCACAGATTGCGAGGTTTGTTGAAATATCTTCAAGCTTAAGACACTAAAATCTCAGTTTTCTTAAAAGTTGGTTTCGATTTGTAACATAAGTTTTTGAATTAAAAAAAAAAAGTAACTGCGTGCTCGTAAGGTTAAATTATTTCATATAAAAAATATATACAATGAATACACACATCTTTTCCGCGGATTCTTTTCCGGGAATCTTTTGATTCCCATTTGTTGACTTCCATCTGCATGTGAGGACTCTATTCAAGCCAATGATATGTGTCAAACTAATTTCTTCTTTGTTTTTATCATATCCCTCGCTTCTTTACCAAGGTTAGTTTGGAAAAAAGTACACTATTCAATAAATGAGGCGGTATAAGGAACTCACTGTGACATTTAAAGTTCAGATACGCCTTACACAAAGTTTGTGATCGTGATCTAAGCTGTGCCGTGATTGAGAGATGTGAATCGATCACCGTGATCGAACTCAGTCGCCAATGTGCTTGCTGCACGTGTCAGGATGAGCACTGTTGGTGCCACCTTGACCTGCTGGACGTGAGCCAGGTACCTGATTGTGTGTGGACGAGTCCGGACTGACCAATGCATCCTTCCAGTCCGTCTGGCTACTTCCGGCCATGTCCGATATCTGGGTTCCCCAGCTTTATGCTACAAGGTAACCTGTGGTCAGTTGTCGTTTTGGTGGTATGTTTTTTTTAATGGTGGTTATTTTTGTGCTGTCAGTTTTGATTTAGAAAATTTTTGTTTCTGGTCTGTTTTTTCTTTTTGGTTGTTATTTTTGTTTGATCAGTTTTCATTTTGGTGGTTACTTTTCGTGTGGTCACTTTTCATTTTGGTGTGTTTTTTTTTATTTGGTCATTTTTTCTATGAGGTCACTTTTCATTTTTGTAGTTATTTTTGTTTGGGCAATTTTCATTTTGGTGGTTACTTTTCGTGTGGTCACTTTTCATTTTGGTGTGTTTTTTTTTATTTGGTCATTTTTTCTATGAGGTCACTTTTCATTTTTGTAGTTATTTTTGTTTGGGCAATTTTCATTTCGGTGGTTACATTTAATGTTGTCAGTTTTCATTTTGGTGGTTATTATTTTGTTTGGTAATTTTTCTGTGTGGTCTTTTCGAATTTTGGTAGTTATTTTTTTTTGTTTGGTTGATTTTTAATTAGACAGCTTTTTGTGGCGTCTGTTTTTATTGATAGCCATTTCTTTGTCTTCTATTTTGATTTGATTGAATTTAATGACGTCAGATTTTATTTGATTGTCACTTTTTGTGGTCAGTTTTCATTTGCTAATTCTTGCGTCGACATTTTAATTTTTGCTATGACTTTTAACATTTATTATTTTTATATATGTCCATTTTATTTTCGAATTTTTTTTAGAGCAGTTTAGTTCTATTTTGTGATTTTTATGGTTTGCTGTTAAATTAAAAAAAAATTCAAATGTTAAGTGATGGTATATTTTATATAGACTAAAAGAATGCGTAGCTGTCCACAGCAGTGGTCAGTTGGCGTGGTGTAAATGTTTCAAAATACACACGTTTGTCAGATACGTTAACACCACTCATACAAGATTCCACATTGATCATTTTTAAGAAGTTGGTTAAAGCGTACCAACAATAGTAAAAACGTTGACTAGGTGCCTGTATATTATCGACGCTGGCTAAAAGTATTTTAATCACACACTGTAACGGAACCAAGAATGTATCTAATATAAGAAACTTTTACCTTAATAGGACATTTAGAATATGTTATTTTACAATAAAAAGAATAATGACACGTTAGTGGCGTTAAGACGATCGATCTGTATAATAAGGTTAACATTAATGACATATATATATATATATATATATATATATATATATATATATATATATATATATATATATATATATATATATATATATATATATATATATATATATATATTGCCAACCAGAGCCACTTATTGATTTAACTCTTATGCCTAACGCTTTTTATTTAAACCTATCTCTTTTTGTTACATGCTACAAATAAATTCTAATCATCAAGTGATTTATAAGTTCTGGAATTAGTTAATTACAGATTTTGATAAATTACACAATTTAATTGTTTTTAGCAATGTCGGTATCTTAAAAAAAATATTACACATTTCTCTATTAATGGTGATTTTTAAAACTGCTTGGAATTTTAAAAAAATCGATTTTTAAAATTTATTTTGAGTGTACTTTATTTAAGTGTTACATTTAGATGTTTTAAAAAAATGCTTTTTTCTTTTAGTTTGATTGTTTTATTAATTGTTTAACAATGGATACTTTTTCGTATTTTGTGTGCTCTAATGTTGCCTATTCCCCCAGCTTTATATGCCCACATAATACACCACCAAGCACATCTAGAAACTCAATCAAAAAACCCGTAACCGTCAACCCACATCTGAACCACTCATTTTTTAACACACAATTGACCACACCCTCATCCACATCTTCCACACCCACAACCCCCACAACCTACATCGAACCACTCCTCCACATCTGACCACACACTCCACCACCCACATCTGACCACTCACCCCAACACCCACATCTAACGACTCACCCCACTACCCACATCTAACCCATCACCCCACCACCCACATCTAACCACTCACCCCACTACCCACATCTAACCACTCACCCCACCACCCACATCTAACCCATCACCCCACCACCCACATCTAACCACTCACCCCACTACCCACATCTAACCACTCACCCCACCACCAACATCTAACCCATCACCCCACCACCAACATCTAACCACTCACCCCACCACCCACATCTGACCACTCACCCCACCACCCACATCTAACCCATCACCCCACCACCAACATCTAACCACTCACCCCACTACCCACATTTGACCACTCACCCCATCACCCACATTTGACCACTCACCCCACTACCCACATCTAACCACTCACCCCACCACCCACATCTAACCCATCACCCCACCACCAACATCTAACCACTCACCCCACTATCCACATCTGACCACTCACCCCATCACCCACATTTGACCACTCACCCCACTACCCACATCTAACCACTCACCCCACCACCCACATCTAACCCATCACCCCACCACCAACATCTAACCACTCACCCCACCACCCACATCTAACCACTCACCCCATCACCCACATCTGACCACTCACCCCACTACCCACATCTAACCCATCACCCCACCACCAACATCTAACCACTCACCCCACCACCCACATCTAACCACTCACCCCATCACCCACATTTGACCACTCACCCCACTACCCACATCTAACCACTCACCCCACCACCCACATCTAACCCATCACCCCACCACCAACATCTAACCACTCACCCCACCACCCACATCTAACCACTCACCCCATCACTCACATCTAATCCATCACCCCACCACCCACATCTAACCACTCACCCCACCACCCACATCTAACCACTCACCCCATCACTCACATCTAACCCATCACCCCACCACCCACATCTAACCACTCACCCCACTACCCACATCTGACCACTCACCCCACCACCCACATCTAACCACTCACCCCCACAACCCACATCTGACCACTAACCCCACCACCCACATCTAACCACTCACCCCACTACCCACATCAACCCTTCACCCCACTACCCACATCTGACCACTCACCACACTACCCACATCTGACCACTCACCACACTACCCACATCTGACCACTCACCACACTACCCACATCTGACCACTCACCCCACTACACTACTCACATCTAACCACTCACCACACTACCCACATCTGACCACTCACCACACTACCCACATCTAACCACTCACCACACTACCCACATCTAATCACTCACCCCACTACTCACATCTGAACACTAACTCCACCACCCACATCTAACCACTCACCCCACCACCCACATCTAACCACTCACCACACTACCCACATCTGACCACTCACCCCCACCACCCACATCTGACCACATCTGACCACATCTGACCACTCACCCCACCATCTACATCTGACCACTCACCCCCACCACCCACATCTAACCACTTACCCCACCACCCACATCTAACCACTCACCCCACCACCCACATCTGACCACATCTGACCACTCACCCCACTACACTACTCACACCTGACCACTCACCCCACCATCCACATCTGACCACTCACCACATCTGACCACTCACCCCACCACCCACATCTGACCACTCACCCCACCACCCACATTTGACCACTCACCCCACCACCCACATTTGACCACTCACCCCACCACCCACATCTGACCACTTACCCCACCACCCACATCTGACCACTCACCCCCACCACCCACATCTGACCACTCACCCCCACCACCCACATCTGACCACATCTGACCACATCTTACCACTCACCCCACCACCCACATCTGACCACATCTGACCACTCACCCCACTACACTACTCACATCTGACCACTCACCCCCACCACCCACATCTGACCACTCACCCCACTCCTCCACATCTGACCACACACTCCTGTACCCACATTTGACCACTCATTTTTCAAACCACACCTGACCACTCCTATCACATCTGACCAGACACACACTCCAACCACATCTGACCACACACTCCAACCACATCTAACCACACACTCACTCCATTCCACAGCCTACTCCCCGTCATTCTCGGCACTCGGCAAGTCGGCATTCGAACCCGGACTCCACAGCGCACAATGGAGGGCTGCCAGTCAAGGTAAGAAACTACGCCACTTCCTGCTTCCCCATCATTCGGTCTCCTTATCCCAGTCTTAGCTCTAACAAGCTAAGCTGTGTAATGCCCTTGAAATAATCCTAATCTGACTGTGTATCGGTGATAGCCTTTTACAGCTAGGACGTGAATTCCCAATCAATCACATGACGGTAATCGATATTTCAATTTTGGTAGCGTGTGCATCATCGATACCACTCAGTTCGCCGGGTGATAAAAATTTAGTGTGTTTCAGCAATTATGTATTTTTTATTTCTTGTGCTTCTGATAGAGTCTTTAACTACGGTTATTGTGTGCAAGCGCTTAATTAATTTTCTCTGCTGTTAATTTAACGTGATAAGGTACCTAGGTCTATTTTTCGTTAGAGTTTATCCGCTAGATTACCTATGGCCTAATTCGCTAGTTTACCTATGGCCTAATTCCGCTAGTTTACCTATGGCCTAATTCCGCTAATTTACCTATGGCCTAATTCCGCTAGTTTACCTATGGCCTAATTCCGCTAATTTACCTATGACCTAATTCCGCTAGTTTACCTATTGCTTAATTCTTTACCTATGGCCTAATTCAACTAGTTCATCTATGGCATAATCAGAATTTCTTCAGGCATCTCTTTGCGGGGAAGAATTTGGGGGGACGGAGCCCCCTCCCGAAGAATGTCTCCCCCCCCCCTCCCGAACGAAATGGAATTTATATAGAAAACATATACTTTTACCAGTGTCCGCCCCCCACCCCCTACCTAATCGAACCTTGGAATGTTATTTTCTAACAGAGATAATTAGTTAACCAATAACTGCCTGCAAGTCTGTACACTGTGCTAGCTATTCCAACTGAATCTCTGAAAAGACATGGTTTATCCTCAGCCTACGGTCAGACTTTCTCCGCCATGGGTAAGCCTGCGTTTGATGCCAATCTTCATACAGCTTCACAATGGAGGACTCCGCAAGGTCAGTCTATAGGTACAGTTGTTGTCATTGTTGAATTTTATGTACCACACTGTACATAGCCACATAGAGACCCACACACTACACTGTACATAGCCAAGTAGCCACAAAGAGACACACATACCGCACTGTACATTGCCACACAGAACCACACACACCACAGTGTAAATAGCCACACAGACACAGACACACACACCACACTATACATAGCCACACATACAACATAGATTAAATAGGTAAACACTCACGCCATTTAGTACAACGCCAATCACTCACACATATAAAGTACATAGCCATACACTCATACTATACAGTACATAGCCATACACTCACACTATACAGTACATAGCCATACACTCACATATAAAGTACATAGCCATACACTCATACTATATAGTACATAGCCATACACTCACATATAAAGTACATAGCCATACACTCACATATAAAGTACATAGCCATACACTCACATATAAAGTACATAGCCATACACTCACATATAAAGTACATAACCATACACTCATACTATATAGTACATAGCCATACACTCACACTATACAGTACATAGCCATACACTCATACTATATAGTACATAGCCATACACTCACATATAAAGTACATAGCCATACACTCACATATAAAGTACATAGCCATACACTCACACTATACAGTACATAGCCATACACTCACATATAAAGTACATAGCCATACACTCACATATAAAGTACATAGCCATACACTCACATATAAAGTACATAGCCATACACTCACACTATAAAGTACATAGCCATACACTCATACTATATAGTACATAGCCATACACTCACATATAAAGTACATAGCCATACACTCACATATAAAGTACATAGCCATACACTCACACTATAAAGTACATAGCCATACACTCATACTATATAGTACATAGCCATACACTCATACTATATAGTACATAGCCATACACTCATACTATAAAGTACATAGCCATACACTCACACTATAAAGTACATAGCCATACACTCATACTATATAGTACATAGCCATACACTCATACTATATAGTACATAGCCATACACTCACATATAAAGTACATAGCCATACACTCACACTATAAAGTACATAGCCATACACTCATACTATATAGTACATAGCCATACACTCATACTATATAGTACATAGCCATACACTCACATATAAAGTACATAGCCATACACTCAAATATAAAGTACATAGCCATACACTAACTTATAAAGTACATAGCCATACACTCATACTATAAAGTACATAGCCATACACTCACATATAAAGTACATAGCCATACACTAACTTATAAAGTACATAGCCATACACTCATACTATAAAGTACATAGCCATACACTCATACTATATAGTACATAGCCATACACTCATACTATATAGTACATAGCCATACACTCACATATAAAGTACATAGCCATACACTCAAATATAAAGTACATAGCCATACACTCACATATACAGTACATAGCCATACACTAACTTATAAAGTACATAGCCATACACTCACATATAAAGTACATAGCCATACACTCACATATAAAGTACATAGCCATACACTCACATATAAAGTACATAGCCATACACTCACATATAAAGTACAAAGCCTCACACAGAGTACATAGCCACACACGCCATAATACAATACATGCCTACACACTAATGCCATATTATAAACACACAGACACCAATTCATAAATACACCTACACGATTAATACAAACTCACACGCATCTCTATCTCTTCTGACAAAAGTAATCGATTACATAGTCAAAAGTATCGAAGTTGTTTTGCACTTATCGATACTTAGCACTAGTCTTAAACTCTCCCCTTGTCATCACATTGGGACGGAGTGCGGTAGAGAGCTGGACTGCTAACCCGTTAGTCTCGAGTTCGAATCCGGGTTCAAGTCAGTAGACCGTCCCTGAGTCCACCCAACTCTGATGGGTGCCTAACTCCTGTTAGGGAAAGTAAAGGCGGCTGGGCATAGTGCTGTCCACACTATCTCTTCATGTGCCGAGGTCACAGAAACAAGTGAACTCTACTTCACTTGCCCCATAGACCGTCAGGTTTGAAAGGGAAACTTTACTTTGTCATCACATTTTCTGGACATAAATCCGGACCATGACCTAAACACAAAGTGTATATCTAACCCTAAGTACGTTACTATAGCATCTTGACAGAGATACCAAAGAAGAAAAAAAAAACTTGGATACGATACTATTTCTACAGAGCATTGGGACGGGGCGCGCCAAAGATTGTCTATCTTTGAACGTGTTTCATATTTAATTAGTTAATGGCTTTAGATTTTATGACCTTAACTCAATCCTCTGGATCACCCGTTTAGTATTTTTAAAATATGTAATTAGTTAATTAAGATAACATTTGAATAATTAGTTCTGGAAATATTAATAAAATTAGATTTAAGAGTAAATTAATGTTAAATAAAAAAGTTTTTTGGATAAGAAAAGATCTTGAATATTTTTAAATGTAAAAAAAAAAAGAGGAATACGGGATTTCCCGAATTATGAAAGTGACGATTGAATGACGTCTGGGGAACATCACGTGACTTGTGTTTTAAGCTGGGGTACAATGCAGCTAATAGAGCGTGAATAAGGAAAGTTGATATGGACAAGACATGACGAGGGAGAAAAAATAGAGGGAGATACGCGACTGAAAGGAGAAACGTCGGAGGGAAGAGAGGGTAGGAGAGCAACAATGGAGGGAGTGACGAGACAGGAGGGGAGGGACAATGGAGGAAGAGACGGGGGGGGGGGGATGACGGGCTGTATGTGACAGCTTTTCCCTCCTCCACGTACCCCGCCTGGTTTAAGGATGGCAATGACGTGCTATGTTCCCGTGGGGGTCAGGGGTCAGACTGCTGTGTGCGCATGTCTGAGCAGTTGAGATACGTTTGACAGGTTTCACGCTATAAAAAAATAAAATCAAACAAAAATCCCAGCAATTTAATCTTCGGAAATGCGAGAACTGTACAAACCTACTACTCATCTCATCATCTTTGTATTTTAAGTGGTTGTGGTCTGGAGTCCCTTTTTATCATCGTCTTCCTACTTCAATGACAGTTGATCTATACAGGTGTGTGGGGGTGTGTGTGTGAGAGTTGTGTGGTATGTGAGAGTTGGGAGTTGTCAATGAAAAAACGTGGCGCGTTAAAAAGCCGATTTTTTTAATACAACAAATACTCTTTAGTGTAACTAGTCGCAGAAAGACACGCATCACAGATTGTAGTTATAAAAAGTGATACTGATTGCAACTAAAAGCAAATGGGATAGGGCGATTTTCTGGTGGTACAATGTCCATTTGGAGGGTGGGTGGGGGGGGGGGGGGACGTTTTCGTCACGAATTGGGTATGTCGTAGGGTTCGTTACGAAAGGACCACCACCGGTCTATTATGTATGTCCGAGCTTTTAACTTAGTTCTAGGCGAGTAACTGATTCACCTGTAAATCGATAGCAGCAGGTCTGTATCAATAACTAATGGACACGCCCAATCTTTTATAGCCCATACATCCCCCCCCCTCCTAATCCGTACCAACGTAAATGTGGATAATTTTTGTTTACATTAGCCCGGCTGTTTCACCCAACTAGAGATTTATATCTAGACTCCTACCTCTTGAATCTCTGTAGTATCGAAACTGTCATTTGATGGTATCGACTTCCTACTATAATGCTAGCACTCACACCATAACTCTGACTCCCGAACCGAGTCCTAATTTAAATTTTACCTTAATCCTCAAAGTAGTTTCAAACGTTTTTTTCTCTGGGGTTTGGGGCTCTCTTAACCTCTTAATATTTCCGGGAGGGGGGGGGGGGGAGGAGAGCGGCACATACTAATTACAATGTACTGTCTATTTTCTCTAAACAAAGTACACATTTTCTATGTAAATTAAATATATTTTTCTATTTCGTCCGTGAGTGTATATGTGTGTGTGTGGGGGGGGGGGGGGTGGTGGTGTCGCAGAGCATATTTTCACAACACTGTTTAAATTAATACGATCGAGTTGGAATAACTTTACTGTATACATAGACTAAATGGCCGGCTCTGAGCTTCTCTTACAATAAGTTCGATAATATTTATAGATACTGGTTAATGTACCATTGTCGGATTTTTTCAAACGATGGATAGCAGATATTGAGGCCGATTGTGGGCCACTTGCCCCAAGGCCGAGAACGTTATACCGAGGCCGATATCATAACCCTAGCTCTATAACACTATCTATAATCCTTACTTTTCATCATCAGTAGCCGTCATAAATAAAAATCATTCATCGTTACTATAGCTAAATATTTATTCTTTAAATGTCTTCTTATTTTTCTTTTATCTTTTTATTTAATGAAAAATCTATTTAATTGAGTCTGTTTTAATTTTTTAGATATACAAAACATTTTTATTCTTTTAAATTGTTTTTATAAACGCGGAGTCAATTTTTTCTAAACCCGTCTCCTCTCGACGAAGTTTATATTTTAGAGATGCACAAACATAGCTTTCCTTGATACCCAAAACAATAGATTTCTATCAGATTTAAAAACATTGAATAAAACAACGAACTAAAATACAACAAGAATTTTGTCCTCAGAACTCACGCTATCGATCACCGTCGGTCAATCACTAAAGCTAGGATCTACCCGTAATTAATCAACCCATACAAGGTTGTATCGATGATGAATCTAGGTCACAACTGACGGGTTTCAACACTAGAGTAGACGAGAATTCATCTCTCGTCATACACCAAGAACTAGAAACAGCATTCAATAGATATTGCAACAGAAATAGAGTAGGCCTTACACATACTCTAAGTAAAGTTTAGTGTATTTCTAGACTAATAGTAATTGTGGCTTTATCGCGGAGACTAGGTCTTGTTCTGCAAACTAATATATATATATACAGTGGCGGGGACAAACTTTCAAATTTTCGATTTGCACCCTTCCCCCTCAAACTTTCGATTTGCACCCCCCCCCCCTCAAGTTTTTCTCTATATATTTTGCTATTTTTTGCCTTGGTGTCACCCCCCTAAATGGTGTCACCCGGTGCGGTTCGCACCCCCCCCCCTCCTCGCTACGCCCCTGTATATATATATTGCGCGTGATTGTATATCTGTGAATATATGGTTCATGCTGTTTTCAAAGCCTTGTAGTACCCCACTAGCTCAGAAAAAGACCCCCTTTATAAACCTCCTACAGGTTGGCGGGAAAATGTCGTTTGGTGTCGTTGGCCCTAAGTGAGGCACTAAATATTGGCTGGTGATTGTTGCAATTAAGAATTTTCATGAACGCTGAAAGCTTTTTTTTTTCCAAATAAACGTTTCTTTGTATTCTCTGAACTTGGTGGGGTCGACCATTTGGTCGCGTTATGCAATAATTTCACTGCCGCAAACAGGAGAAATTAACCCCGCAGCTAAAGGGACATAACCGAATCACACGTTAGGGAAAAAAAATCCCGGCGACCAAGGGCGACTATCAAGCTTCAAGGGGAGGTTACCGTCTATCACGACAGGCCTGCCATCAAGCAGTGAAATCACGGATGGAGATGTGATTGTGTCCCCTTGTAAATGCATCAGGATCCGGGCTGTGTGACACGGATGAACGAGCAGAGCAGAATATCATTGACGTTTTTTTTCGTTGACCATGTCACTTCATGGCTCTAGCCGGGTGAGCTGAAAATAGGGAGGAGGGTGGAGAAACTGGTGCAGGGTGGGGGTGATGGGGGGGGGGGGTCCTTTTGATGGGGTCGACCAAATACTAAGTGCATGCTGGTCTGTATAAAAATAAAAACAATCTCGATTTAAAAAACAAACAAAACAGTTATATTTTTATATTGGCAATATGAAAAATATGACATCACAAGTAATCCCTTTATTTTTTATAAATTAAAAAAAGCTTTAACAAAAGACTTACTGATATAAAATAGCAATATACAGTTTATTGCTTTTGTTGAAAATTCATTATATATCTTTATGCACAAGGGCAATTAAGTAGATGCGGATGACATCTCAAATAACCACACTGGATAACATTATACCTTGTAACACCACTGTTGTCACGACTTCAATGTTGGAGTTTGCTGTGTAAATACCAGAACATTAAATGTTAACTAAAATATGATAAGACTTAACTAAAATTATACACAACTCTACATAAACAATTTCATAAAATTCTGCGTTGTTCGATTACTTGCTTTGTGCTCTGCTTAAAAATCAACTAAAATATTTTTAGAATTTGAAAAGGAAAAAAAAACCAATTTAAAAAAAAGACACTTTGGTTAGGGGTGCTGAAATTGAGCTTAAAATTCCACACAGTGGGGGGACAATTCATCTTAAAAAGGATCAAAAGGGCGACAACTCACTGATGTGACCCGATTAGCAGCGGGTCAAGCAGCAATAAAGGGAGGAACTAAGGGAAGTCACCCTGCTGGCAAACATCGTTCAAGGGAGATAATAGAAAGGCCAACCTCGTTGTGAGTTTTCATTGGGAATGTGCAGCAGAGCGTAGCGAGGGGGTAACGGGAGCGCCCGACCTTACTGGAACAATCTAATCATCGGATTGCTCCGGCGGATTGTCTGACTGTCATTTTGTTTGTCGGACGACTTATCCAACATTAAGAGGCACGGCTTGTGTTTTCTGATGTGATTGGAGAGGAGTGGAGAACTTAACTTAATTAATGGCATTCGTTAAACTAACTTTAAAAAAAAACTAATTTTTAGACTTAATGACGAATACATTTAGCAAGTAACATAGCAAGTAATTTAATTATAAAATAAAAAATAAAGTTTTTGAATAATTAAGAAGTAAGTTAGCAAAAAAGGTTTTAAATAATTTAATAATCAACTTTGCAAATAGGTACTTGTTGAAAAAAAAAAGTAATTTATCACGTACGGTTATATGTATTTTACTACGTAATTAAATTTATACGTTTTGGGTAAATAAGAAATGTGTTTGATAACTAACTGACAAGTAACTGGGCTAATACATTTGTTTATAAAATAACACTTAGCTAAGAAAGTAAAGCTGCCAACAAATTAATTTAAAACGTCGCACGAAATTAAGCATTTCATTAAGCAATGAAGTGAGAAACTTTTGAATACATTGTACCCATACATCCTTTTCGATGGTGCACATCAAAATGAACAAAGTCCCAATCATTTTCTAGTTTAAAATGTTTTTATTTAATTCACACCGGCATGTTTTAGGGAAACCTATAGAAATATTCTTTGCAATTATATCTGTCCCTATAATATTATTTTAGATTTTTATTTTATTTATCGCACACCAGCCTACGCATATCTTGTCTGCTTAGCTATAACAAAAAAAAAATAACAAACACAACAATTAAACTATTCTGCAATACTTTTAAAAATTGCCTCAATTATCATATCCTTTTTTGCCATCTCTTTTTTCCACTGCTTTCTCTGTGTCGTGTATGTGTAGATTTCATATTGAAAAAAATGTTCACAATAATCTTTTTCATAATAATAATATTTGTTCCGCATCATCATTCTCACCGAACAGAGAATTATTGTTTTTTTTATAACAATTTCCTTTAAGTGCGGTAATAAAACAAAACATTGCAAAACTATAAACATTGTTGCTAAAGATCTATGAATGGGGAACTGTGATGGATGGCACATAAAGCTGTGAGACTTTATGGAGCTTTACTTGATAAAGCCGCACCGATTTGAGCGGAATTAGGTGCTAGACGGTGCAAATGTGCGGAATTAGGTGCTAGACGGTGCAAATGTGTGGCCCTGGGTTTCAAAGTGCGTCGGTTTATATGGCTAACGCATACAAGCCACTACCTTTGATGGTTTATTAAGAGTTTTTTTTTCTTTATATGTAATGTACAAAAAATTGGTAGCATGTAATTAAAATGACGTCACAATAAGTACTAAAATTTCCCGAATAGGTCTAGATCAGCGGTTCTTAACTTTTTTGGAGGTACCGAACCCCACCAGTTTCATATGCGTATTTACGAAAATTCTTTTTTAACAGTTCTATCGTCTACACTGACAAAATACGATCGTGAATCATATAAGTCGGGTGTGTGTTTTGAGCTCCTCCGAGCACCTGCAACTGACTCACCGAACCCCTGGAGTTCTATCGAACCCATGTTAAGAACCACTGATCTAGATCAGTTTGTCAATAACGAAGGTTTGCTCACACGTGGTTAGGGACAATGATTAGTAAAATGTGTCTTCAAATCCAATGTAGATATCTCCCTAGGTTTAAGAATGTAGTTATAAATGGCTTCCGTGTTTCATGTCTACCTAGGTTTACAAATTGTATTTATAAATGGCAACAAGTTGTTTAGGGGATTGCTGCTTCGACAGAGTCTCTTTTGTTCCTTTCTAAACACGTCACCGGCTAACTATTCACAAGATTTGTGATTGTGGGCGGTTTAAATATATAGAGCCTGTCACCCGTGTAATAACAGACATACTAACACTTCAGACACGTGTCTATTCTCTCTACATTTGGACTGTATGTATTTCTTAAGTCGTAAAGTATTTAAGGACAAAAATACAGCAAATTATGGACAAAATGTTTTTCACAAAAAATCACATCGTCCGTGTTCTAATCGGAGTCTACTTCTTTTTGCACGTTCTAACGGGAGTCTACTTGTCTCCACAGATCTTTACCAGCTACTCGGACCCATCTCTACCAGACTCTCTACTTCAGGTACGTCTAGCCAAATTAACTTTAAGTCTGAAGTTATCTTCTAGTCTACGTCTAGCTGAAGTAACTACGGACTATGTTTACTATGCCTAGTGGCTATGATGGGACGGTGTGGCCTAGCTAGAGAGCTAGACTTCTAACCCGACAAGCTTATGTTCGAATCCGGGTCCAAGTCAGTAGAACCCCCCTTAGTCCACCCAGCTCTGATGGGTACTCATGTTAGGGAAAGTAAAGACAGCTGGGCAAAGTGCTAACCACACCTTCCTTTCATATGCCGAGGTCAAGAAACATACGAACTCTACTTCATCTGCCCAATAGATCTCTAAGTATGGAGAGGATTCCTTACTTGTGGTTATAAGTTTATTTTACTGAACCCATCTATTAGATTGTTGGTTATTCTAAAACCACAACTAAAATTGTTTCCCAACACTCAGTATGAAGTTTGGTGAAGTGAAAAAGAAAACAATTCAACTTCAGCTATGTAAAGCTTAAGCAGATACTATTTAGGATACTGTTTAGGATACTATTTAGGATACTATTTAGGATACTATTTAGGATACTATTTAGGATACTATTTAGGATACTATTAAGGATACTGTTTAGGATACTATTTAGGATACTGTTTAGGATACTATTTAGGAAAATGTTTAGGATACTGTTTAGGATACTATTTAGGATACTGTTTAGGATACTGTTTAGGATACTATTTAGGATACTATTTAGAATTCTTTTTAGAATACTATTTAGGATACTATTTCTGATACTATTTAGAATACTATTTAGGATACAATTAGGATAATATTCGCTTACATTTCTCAACTTACCCTTGCTTTTATATTCTCCTTTTATTTGGCCATGGTCAGCCTTTTGTACTTAATCGCAACTAGGCCCTGGGCATAGTAATCCACAACTAATGACACATACCTATGTAATGTTTCTGTCTCTTCTAGGCTCTGGGCAAAGTAATCTAAACTTATACCACAGACCTGTTTACTGTTTCCTTGTCTCTTCCTGTCCCTAGGCAGAGTAATCCACAACTTATGAAACACACCTATGTAATGTTCTTTTGTCTCTTGCAGGCTCTAGACAGAGTGATCTAAAACTTACGCCACAGATCTGTTTAATGTTTCCTTATCTCTTGCAGGCTCTAGACAGAGTGATCTAAAACTTACGCCACAGATCTGTTTAATGTTTCCTTATCTCTTGCAGGCTCTAGACAAAGTGATCCAAAACTTATGCCACTCAGCTATGTAATGTTTCCTTATTTCTTGCAGGCTCTGGGCAGATCCAACTCTGGCAGTTCCTTCTGGAGCTTCTCTCCGACTCGGCCAACGCCGCCTGCATCACGTGGGAGGGCACCAACGGCGAGTTCAAGCTGGTGGACCCTGACGAGGTGGCCAGGAGGTGGGGGGAGAGAAAATCTAAGCCCAACATGAACTACGACAAGCTGAGCCGGGCGCTCAGGTACTACTACGACAAGAACATCATGACCAAGGTCCACGGCAAGAGATACGCCTACAAGTTCGACTTCGCCGGGCTGGATCAGGTGAGTTGGTGGTGTCACAACTTGAAATTATTAACTCGGGAATAGCTCGCTATCTTGAGTTTGGTGTCTGTGTCTTAGTTAATTTGACCTGACACGCACCTGACTCTATTTGATAGAAGTGTTATCGGTCGAACCTAGTACTGACACGCAATTTACGGCATAGGCAGAAGTTAAATGAATTAACCAGATTTATTGCATCTGTCTTAAAAACAAGTTCTTAAAACCTTTTCTACAAAGTGAAAAATCTAAAATCGTAAACAAGCTCTTATGAAGAATGTTCTAGATCAGGGGTCTCCAAACTACGGCCCGCAGGCCGGATGCGGCCCGCGAAGTCCTCTCATCCGGCCCGCGGAGATCTTTTTGTCCAAGGAAAAATCGTTTGTTAGTGATGATAAGGAAATTTGCTCAGAAAAATCAAAGACATGCCTGGAAGAAACTGGCCCCCGAACTGAAATTTGATAGTTAATGCGGCCCTGGGACTGAAAAGTTTGGAGACCCCTGTTCTAGATGAGAAAAAAGTATGATATAGCGTAGATCTTTATTACACACGGCCCCTTTATTTACCCGAGTCAGACGTAGATTGTTGCTAGTTTATTCTTTTACACAAAATCTTTAAAATCGAGGTCACAGAAGGGGTCGTCGTGGTCGGGTCGGTTAAGCTCCTGGCTGCTAAGGCGAGAAGTCTCGAGATCGAGCCTCTCTAGGAGAGACAACTCCTAAATCTAAACAACTGCTACCCTGTTGCAAATCCAGAGAAAAAGCAGTCTGAAAACCGAGTCAATGGTCCATATGTCGTTAACATACTTGATTATGTTGGAGGAAATTACGTCCAGCATAACAATGAAGAAAAAAGGAGAATATAATTGTCATAGAAACGAAAACACAATCTAAAAATACAATTTTCTTTATGATAGTTTTTTTTTTTTTACCTATGTGTAAAAATAGAAACGGCGAAAAGAAATCGTAATTTAAATGTCCTTATTATAGCTGTTCGCAGTAGTTAAACAATAACTTTAATTTAAAAAAAAAAAGTAATGTGCTTATCGTTTAATTTTATGGTAGTGAACTAAAAATCAATGTTGACAAATGAAATCAGTTCTCGCTATTCTTTCAACACAAAGATGTTTTTTATATGTAATATTTGAACTTGTCTCCCCTGATCACAGTTGCTCCACTCTGCCAGTGCCGACTCCACCTTCAAGTTCCACCAGGACGTGTTCGGTTTCCAGAGCTACGGCCCGCACAAGTACTTCCGGCCGGCGCCCCACCCAATGGCGTCACCTTCCGCATCCGGGCTCTTCCCTCCCCCGGGTTGCTACTGGTCAAGCCACGGCAACGGGTTTTTGACAGGTATTGGCAGTCACATGATGAGCTCTCACCATTCAGCGCATCTCACGTCCATAGGGTACCCGTATACCTAGACGTGACGTCCGCAGGGTACCCTAACTCCTACACGTGACGTCTATTGGGTACCCCTACACATAGAAGCGACATCAGTATGGTACCCAATCACCAATGACGTACATATGATTCTTCTATAACAAGGCCTGACGTTCATAGGACACCACACACCTAGTTATGGCGATGATAGGGTACCCATACACCTAGACATGGCACCTATAGGGTACCCGTATTTTTAGACACCACGCCCATAGGGTACCCATAAACCTAGACATGGCATCTATAGGTTACCCATATATTTAGTCACGACGCCCACAGGGTACCCATTAACCTAGATTTTAGCCAGCGTTTTAAAATGATTAACTAGAGACTGCAAACATACTTGCACTGCTGATAAACAGAAAGGACTGTTGAAAAAAAAAATGAAATCATTGTCATTGAAAGTATTGTGATGATAATAACAATGTCAATGATAATTTTGATTTTTAATAATAATAATAATCAACAAACGCCCATAGAATATTGATGTATTATTTTCACTGGTTTTACAAAATTGTAAAACCAACAAATAAACAAATAAATAAACAAACTCTACATGTTTACTCGAAGACTGTGCCGATGTTATTGTAAACACAGATCTGTATCAACATTGACGTGATATTTTGTAATGTATAGCTAACCACGGAATTGGGGTGGGGGGGGGGGGGGGAAGGGGTGGAAAGGGGTGAAACGTTTGTTTTGTGAGTCGTCTTCATGATTGTTAATATATTGTTAAGATGACATTTTTGATCGAGTCCATTGTCCGAATCCCAATTCATTTATCAAGTTACTCTTGAAACAGTACGCTGATTCTCCATATCACAACAGATACGAATTTTATCCAGTCGTTTTCGAAGTAGGTTCTTGCATGTGTCTCGATGCTGCTGACTTTTTTAAGGTCATTTTTCTGAGGAAGCCAGATTTACGAATCCCATCAAGAAATTGGGTTGCAGTAGTCGTCCTATTGTCAAAACTTGATTCACTTAGACATGCCTATCAGTGTCGTGGTATTCGATATAAAAACTGAGTGTAGGCAAAAATAAATAAAAATGATAGTAAATAAAAAAAAATATGCCCAATATAGCAAACACTCGATAAGGAATTCAATAATTAAAGGTTATTTTTCAAAAAAATTATGTATCATAAATATGTTTTAGCTGGTCATTAATGGAAACACACACACACACACCCACCCACACACCCACCCACCCACCCACACACACACACACACACACACACACACACACACCCACACCCACACACCCCCCCCCCACACACACACACACATATATATATATATATATATATATATATATATATATATATATATATATATATATATATATATATATATATATATATATATATATATATATATATATTCATACACAAATAAACGGGTATGGTTGAAATGTGTTGAGAATAAGATCCCCCCCCCCCCCCCCACGTCAATTCCCGTGTTGATTATCGGCGCAATGGAGACGGACTAGATTGTTCCGGAAAATACGTCACCAAATAACTCACCCACACTTCCTCGTCACGTGACATATACGGATAGCACGTGACTGCTGAGAGTTCAACCATCTCTTATGAAGCTGAACCGATGATAACGGTAAAGCAACAACCACTGTACCCTTGTGAAATACGTTGTATGATCCTCATAATAACTGCAAGCAGTTATCTTTAGACGCGGTTTAGAGAGTAAAACAAGAAAGATCGCTTACTACTAACCCATTGGGAGAAATTAACCAATCCCAAAGTCAACTTTAAGGCTTATGTCAATATTATAACAGTATAACTCTACCATTGTTATCATAATTCGTCAATCTGATTAGAAAAATAAAATAAAATCACTCAACGAAATAACTTTTGTGATCAATGAAGGATTGGCCTATGATGGCCAGGCTAAAGTTATCTGAATAGTGTACTGTACGGACTGCGTCATATGGACTGCGTAGAGTATACAGCTGAACTAGGTCAAATACTGGATTAAATCCGACTGGTTAACGACCTATTCCTGAGTTCCATTAGTAGCTATTGAACCAAGGTCAGTCTTTAAACTAAGTATGAACTGAACACAGCAACAGGACATTTAAAGAAGCAGCACTGGCCTACATTACTGTTCTATTTTTGTTTTAACTAGTGGTGATAGAATGACATCACACGCATCATCAGTACACTTTTTCTTGTTAAAATATTTAACGAAAAACATTACACCGTTTATTTAAATTATTGTTATATTCTTGTAATACTCTGAACATTTTCAGGGTCAACCGCCAAAAACATCACCACCCCCACAACCACAAAATATTATCAGTACCATAAAACTACTTCTAACAATAGCAGCCACAAGACGGTATCAGAACCCATACCACTGCAAACAAAAATATTTCACGAAAAACCATAAACCGTTTATTTAAATTATTGTTACCTTTTATTTTTTTCGTATTTTGGATTGTAAATAGAGAATTAAAATAAAATTTAATAATTTTATGCGTTAAACAAATTTTAATTTTCATCCCCATCTTATACAGCTTCTACCCATTTGCGCGTCTTTACATTTTAGTGTGCATCAGTACATTGGTGAGAATCAACGTGTATATTCTTCTTCTTCTTCTTAATCCCGTTCGTGCCCAAGACACATGGAGCAGATGAAGTAGAGTTCATCTGATTCATTGACATCGGCATGTGAAGGGATGGTGTGGTCAGCACTATGCCCAATGTGTATAATACATGCCTTAATTTTTGCAGTCATCTGCTGATACCGTTAATATGTAGTTAATATAAATATAATATGTAATTGATATTTAGAATATGTAATTTCTGTATCAGAAAATGATTAATACAATATGTAAATGATATTTATAATATGAAAGTTCTATATTAGAAAATGATTAAGAGAGGGAACAAAGAAATTATAATGCAATGTTTTGAAAAGAAAGATAATTATCGTAATGAGATTCGGAGAAAGACAGCTCAATGAGTTTAAGATTATGCACTTAGTTGGTCTGAGAGAACGATAATACGCTTAACAACCTCAAGAGAAAAATAATGAGCTTAATGAATTTAAGAGAATGATACCTTGTTTAATGAGTTTAGGAGAAAGACAATAAGCAAGTAAATAGGATAAAACAATAATGAATGGGATTACCTTTAGACAGTAACGAGATTGAAATAGAATAAAGGAATAAAAAGCATTTGAAGGGGATAAGAGTAAGGGATAATGGATGGGGTGGTCTTGAAGTATTAGTCTAATATACAAGAAGTAAGAAATATCTGTTAAAATGGAAATAAATTTAAAAAAAAGTTACATAAGGTTTTAGACACACGTTAATTAATTACGAGATAAAAAGCATAAGATTTAAAAATAAAACGATATAGTGTTTCAAAGTGACCAACATCACAAGCAGAAGTGTATCACACTGACGAACATCACAAGCAGAAGTGTATCACACTGACGAACATCACAAGCAGAAGTGTGTCTGACTGACCAATATTAAAAGCAGAAGTGTGTCAGATTTACCATCATCACAAGCAGAAGTGTGTCAGACAGACCAACATCACAAGCAGAAGTGTCAGACTCAGTGGCGTAGCGAGGTCGGGTGTCACCCGGTGCGGCACTTAATGGAGTCACACCCCCCCCCAGAGGCGTTGCGATCCTTCCCGGGGACAAACTTTCATGTTTTCGATTTGCACCCCCCCCTCAAACTTTCGATTTACACCCCCCCCCCCTCAAGTTTTTGATTGGCACCTCCCCTCCTCAAACTTTCGATTTGCACCCCCCTCAAGTTTTTCTCTATATATTTTGCTATTTTTTGCCTTGGTGTCACCCCCCTAAATGGTGTCACCCGGTGCGGTTCGCACCCCCGCCCCCCCCCCCCCTCGCTACGCCCCTGGTCAGACTGACCAACATTACAAGCAGAAGTGTGTCAAACTAACCAACAGCACGAGCAGAAATGTGCCACATTGAAACAAACAGAAATGACACATTTGTGAGAGTGGCCATCAGAAGCAGAGATGTGTAGCAGAGAGACTGACCAACATCAGAATCAGAAATAAACCAACAGTGAGACTAACCAATTAATAACTCCAAAAAAGATCTATTGATCTCTTGAAAACATAAGAAGAAAAAAAAAAAAAACCCAAGACATCATCTAATTTTGTACTGCTACAGGAACCAGTCTGTTTATTGGTGCCAAACCCCCTTCTCCTACACCGCCATGTTGCCTTTCAACACTGGAACCCCCTCCATCACCGAATTAGCCTCTCGGAGCATCCTCGGTCCTGGGAAGCAGAGGAGAGGCAACCGGAAGCTCGCCCACTTCTCCAACCGGCCGGACAAAGACCGGTTGGGAGCAAACACGGCCGCCCGGCTCAGGGATGGAAGGAAAACATATATCATTTAGATTTCCCGCCCGGCTGCGGGGGTCCGCACCCAGCGTTGACACCCGGGGCATTGATTGGTTAGTTTCTTTTCAGTCAGTCCGAGGCTCTTCGAAACGTGACGAGAGAGGGGAGAAAATGGCGGCCGCCGGAAATCAAAACTCAATATCCAACCGGAACCACGTGCATTGACGCGCGGAGAGCCGGGAACCCAATAGCGCAATTTCCGGTCGTTGCTTGCCTTACATCTAAGTGAACATGTCCAGATTCGAGCATCGACCAAACGAGCTCTTCCATTGATGGAGTCGAGAGGGGGGAGGAAGAGAGGGAAAGAGGAGGGAGGAGGGGAGAGAAATTAACCGAGAGAGAGGGAGAGAGGAAAGGGAGAATAACAGAGGATAAACATGCAACACAGTCAGGAAAACACTAGGACGGCGTTAGAATCAGAAACACATAAACAAACACACACACGTACATACACGACAACTCCAAAAAAAGACAAAAAAAAGTAATCGAGAAGACTGTTTTGTACGAGAAAACTTGTTCAGACAACAAAAAAAGTCAAAATGGAATAAAAAAATCAAAGGACAAATATTGGCACTCCGTGCCGGACAACTCCTCCCAGAACTCTCTTGTTTTAGAACAACACATGGCAGTCGTCTCCCTTAGTTTAATTTTTATTTTTATTTTCCGGGTATTCCCGATGTTTCACCACTTGGTAGCTTACGACTTTGAACAACCCAAGGGTCTAGTTGTAAGCTATGTTTAATCTCTAATACCAACACAAGTAACAACTGGTGGCTTACCCGTCGACCTACTGGGATATAGACATCAATAAGTCTACAACATGGGCATCGTGATTTTTGGATTTGCATTTGTCGTCCATATTTTTGTGTTTACATGTTTCGCTGTTAAGTTGTATATTTTATATTTAGTAGCTAATTTTGAAAATTCGTGGGATAATTGTCAAGTTTGTATGATCATGTATTAGATTGTCAAGTTTGTATGTACATGTGTATGGTCGTCACGTTTGAATGTTCGTGTATTTGATTATCAATTTTGTATGTTTATGTATTTGGTTGTCAAGTTTGTATGTTCATGTATTTGGTTATCAGGTTAGTATGTTCGTGTATTTGATTGTCAATTTTGTATGTTTATGTATTTGGTTGTCAAGTTTGTATGTTCATGTAT